TTGAAGAGATTAACATTCTCTTTCTTGAGCATATCAACTATATAACATAAAGACTGTTAGAAAGATTTAGAAAGGGAAGAGAAGAGCAAAAAGTAATAGAGAGACAAAAGTGATAGAAATAAAGGTAAAAATAAAAAGACAAAGTGGAATAAAAATGAAAAGAATGGAAGATATATAAACTCCATAATTGTGAAACAAATTCCTTCTAATCAAGCTTTTTCATAATGCCTCCCAAGAATCTATGAACAATTGGTGTAAGACACTTAAAACTAGTAAAAGAAAACTTTGTCACCATAAGAAGAATATAAATAATTGAAAACAGGAAAAGAAAACAAGGAATATTTATCTTATCAAGTGTGAATGTTTGATTATAGACACCTTCGGCTAGTATGGGTTATAAACTTTCAAAATATCCTTAATGTAATTTTAAGGGAGTACGAGATAAAAGGGAGAAGTTATAAAATCACATTTGGCATGATTGCATTGCAATCAATGATAATGTCAAAATCTTGACTTAACACCACTTATAATAGTTGAACCTCAAGGTTGAGATCATCCATATGTATAACTACATCTGCCTTATCCCATTGCACATATATATATGTATGACCATTGCCAGAAAAGAGTGAATATTAGCTTTGCCACATAATGCAACTATGGATAATAGCATGTGGCAATTGGCCGTGTAATAAAAGATAAACTCTTAAAAATAACAATAGATGTCTTGTTATAAAAACGAGCTTAGAAATTAAATACTAAATGAATTGGTGTCGAATGAACTCCTTAATAGTAATCTTGAAAGAAGGATGGAAATCATTGACAAAAATCTTTTGCTACTTGCACAACTTGTCATTTCTCAAAATAATCTTTATATCAAGACTTTCTACTGTAGTACCACCAATAAAGTATTGTTCACACTAAAACCTTGACCTAAATAGGAGCATTTCCTACAAAAAGAAGACTTGAAACACATATAACTAGGGAACTAATGTTTTATAATAATATATCAATTGAAGAGCATTGTTAAGGGTGGTTGAAGCAAATGCATGCACAAGTCCTATAAGATCTTGTAAAGTGATACCCATAACATTCCCAACTGTAAGCCACAAATTTTTCCTTTCCAATTTGCCAGCTTACCTCGACTATCCGGCCAACTCTGCCTTGGCTTGTGCTAAGTTCCCTCGCCAAGGTTCTCGCCTATGGTACCAGCTCCTACTTGGTCCTACTTGGTTTCAGCTACTCACTGCACAAGCAACAAAGTATTAGCCATCCATCTACGGATTCCCAAATCTCTCCCAATCCTCCTCCCCAGGTTAGATTGGACTTAAGGTTCAGCTACACTCCCCATAGGCACAAGCAGCCAAGCACACCAAGCCTCCAGATTCCTAACACCCCTTGGTACCACAAGACTTGATCATAAGACCCCCTAAATCCCAAGCCTTGGGTGCAGCACTTGCTTCGGGACGTCGGGGTGAAACACCGTAGCCTAACGGCCCGGTATGGGTACCTCTACCCCCCCACTTCCATCCCGAAGGGAAGGCCCAAGCCCCTAGGAAGGGCGAGGACCAATGAGCCACAAGGTACTCAAGTGGGGCACCACTCCACGTGAGCCGGGAGCATTGCAGTCGGTTTCCCTTTCGGGAGTGGGAGCTGTTCTTGAGCACTTCCCTGGGTGGTTCCTCCGGCACCACCCAAGCCCATGCTCACTCCCACCCAAGGCCCCTCGGCCCCAGTCTCAACCTCAAGTCAGTTTGGAAGCACCATTGGAGAGTTCCTTCAAGACTAGGTCCTGGACCTCACTATCCATGCTATACTTTTGGAACCCCCTGCAGCCCCCCTCCCCCCTGGGAGACACACACTTTGGGCTTTCACCCCTTGAGCTGTATTAGTATTTGGACTTAGTCTCAGAATCGATCTCAGACTCGATCTTGGACTCGACTTCGGACTCGGTCTTGGACTCGATCTCGGACTCGATCTCGGACCCGATCTCGGACTCGACTTCGGACTCGACCTCGAACTCGGTCTCGAACCCGATTTGGATCTCGGACTCTGTCTCGAACTCGGTCTCGAACTTGGTCTCCGATTCGGCCTTGGCTCGATCCTGGACTCTATCTCGAACTCGGTCTCTGAGTTGATCTTGGACTCAATCTTCGACTCGGTCCCATCCGATGAACTCTTTGTCATTTTGGTCATGCTTTCGGGGATCCTTTAGCCTACAACATCTCGGGGAGTCGGTTCCTTACACCAACTTGATTTGTTTTTATATATTTGGCTTTATATGAAGCAAAAAGCTCTAGAATTGCATATACCAAATTTGCATATTTAATTTAAATTGCCCTTGATAAAGATGATGTATTTGCTAGAATGCATCATTACAGTTGTCAATATGTCCAAATGCACCCTTGAAGATGTTTGAGAAAATGCTCCAATTTGTATAAGTGGTTGCACTTAAACCATTATACTATTGCAATGTTATCCCTTGGAGAAATATAGAACACTTGCACTAATGCCAAGCATCATCCCAAGAATGATACATAGCAATCACTTTAAAATGATTGAATCAATAGTACATATCATCCCCAAGATTCCCATAGAAGAATTCAGTTGGATGTGAGGATTGACACTAAGAGCAAAAAGAGTGGCACTATGCACCTTGAACGTCATTGTCAACTTTGACTAATTATTTAGCTGTAGCTATATAGTATTAAATAACTACACCAATTCCTACTTTAGAGTCAAAGGAGGAGAAAATTGCTACAAAAAAGAAGTATACTACTTTGCTATGAAGATGATTGAAAAGAATCAAAAGCAAAAGAGAATAAATGAAAAAACTACAAGAACAAAAAAGATCTAGATGATACAAAGGTTAAATCTAAACATTCCTTAAAAAAAATCAAAGCTACCCCTCATCTCTACCAATGTGAGTGCATAAAAATGTGTGTATTTGATTAGCCCAAAAACCCTAGTTATATATAAGAGTGAGTGGTCTAAATTGAAGTCAATATAACAATTTTCAAAATCCCACTATCGTAGTGTACACTTGGACCTCACAACTTCTATAATTAAAATATCTATTTCAAATTTTTAGTCAATATTAGTTTAATTCACCTTTAGAATTCTATGATAAGTTTTAGAGAAATTTATATAAAATTCCCTTAAACTTGGCATATTTACAAATATACTCAAAATTTGGAAATTGCCAAACAAAAAGTTTAAGCGCATTTCAAAACAATATTCAATTTTAACTAAGAAAGAATAGGTATCTATGACTAAATGAATCTTGTTTAATCATGACTAGACGTTTAATCATAGCTTGCCCTCCATCTAGTGATGATTCAACAAAATTCATTTAGTCATGGATACTTACTTTTCCTTAGCCCTTTAATATCTTATGCTAATAATGAAATATGTAGTTATTTCTAGGCATTTTGAGTTAATTATGACCTGATTAGAGACAATTCAACAGAAAGACTAGGGTTGTTTATAGAGACTTCATGGGAAGCAATGAGGTGATGATGAATTAAATTATCAATCATTTCAAGTGGTGAGTAAGGGATGATATAGATGTGGCTCTAAAAAATATGATGGTTGAAATATATTATAAGTATATTGTGCCTCTATATTCTATTATATGGCTTGGAAAGGAAATTATAAAGTTATAAAGGAAAAGTCATGTGTAACTAATCAAATAAACGACTTCAAAAAACATCCATTGGGGCTTTATTGTACCCCATTTTTTAATTAGTTAAGGGTTTTTAAATATATGGAATAATTTCTCAAATCAGGTTGGAAGGTTTATTTGAGACAATGGTCTTAGGGAGAGATTGAGTGTGAGGAAAGCCATTTCCAAATCCATACCTCAAGGCATTATATATAACTTCCCATAAAGTCTAAATTCATGAATTTATATTTAGTATTTTAATAGAAGTAAATTGAACTATGCTTCACCCTATAAACTCCCGTATGGTCATAATCCACTACCAATGGAGTTGGGTTTACCTTCACGATTACCATGACCTGCCAATACTAAGTTGTGGGATTAGTATTTGACGAGTATTTTTCCACTTGTTTGAATAAAGACTGCCAAACATCTAGGCACGTACAAGTGGGACAACAATGGCATTACAACTCTCATTATTGTCCACCTATAGAGTAAAAAATGGATGATTTAGTGTTAGTTCATTTTCCCTATTTTATGATACATGGTTTATATAAGGGGCTCCTTATCCAATAGAAAGAATTATGGCAAGTTGGACCACAAATTTATGAAGTTTAGCATGATGTCCAATAGGCCGATCCTCCAGAAATTGTGCATATGTAATGATTGAACTGCTTCGTACAAAGGGATTAAAAACAACTACTACCACATACAAATCCATTGATGCCTTCTCCTAATGTTCTTCTAAATCTTAGCCCATTTATGAAAGAACCTTAATGGTCTTCTATTATTCCAAGAGGAGGGGATGATATGAGGTCCAAGTATATGGCTACAATGCCATATATTAATATTTGCATAGTGGGATTTTAGTAAATGTTAGATTGGTTTTAATCTAAATTACTCACTCTTGGGTTTTTGGGTTAATTGATATATATATTTTTTGTATTCCCTTTCCATATTCCATACACTCATATAGGGACTTTTTGCAAAATTTAAAAAGTTACAAAGGTTTTTGGTTTGTTTAAGAAAACCTATAAAAGGACTAAGATGGTAATGGATATACTTAAAATATGTTTGGATATTCTAGGATTTCTACCATCTAACGGTTGCTATTCATTTAAATTAATCATGCATTTATAATATATAAACGTGTTAATAATTTATAAACTTTTAAAAACACTTTTAGTATATTCTTTTTTATTCTACCATCTATGCAATAAGATTAGTTTTGTGTTTATAAAATACAAACATGCTTAAAATTATAAATTTTTATTAGCAAATTATTTATAATTTAAATTTTCGAAAAGATTGAAACGTTTTCTTGCAAGCCCAAAAAAGGATAGTAATTTTAAGTTATTGTTGCCCAATGAAGGGCAAGAATAATTTTATTGTAGGGCAGGAGCTCAGACAGAGAGGGCGGTGACAAATCTCTCCAGGCCGCTGCCAGGTACATTCTTCGATCGGATCTTCTCACCCAGCTCCTCGGCGCGCTCTCGGATCTGCCGTCCCTGCTCGCCGTCCATTGCCAGGCGGATGATCCTCTCCACTTCGTCACGGCTCACCATTCCATCCCTTCCTTTCGCAAATCTTATGCCTACCTTCCACTTTCTCACCAGCGAGATGGAATTCGTGTTCTGCTCGAACAGCAGCGGCCAGCAGAGGACGGGTTTGCCGCTGGCGACGGCCTCCACGGTAGAATTCCAGCCGCAGTGAGAAAGAAAAGCTCCAACCGATGGATGGGAGAGTACTTTCGTCTGGGGCGACCACGAGACTACCATTCCTTGATCCGTGCTTGGAAATCGGACCTTGGAGATTTCTGGCTGCTCGGGTCGGATCACCCACAGGAATTTCTTGCTGCTGGCTTCCAGCCCTCGCACGATTTCTTCCATCTGGTCGCCAGTCATGACCGCAAAGCTCCCGAAAGAGATGTAGAGCACGGAAGATGGCGGCTGCTCGTCGAGCCATTTGAGACAATCGGTATCGCAGACGCCAAATCCGACAGTGTGTGGCTCGTCGTTGAGAAGAAAGAGAGGACCGACTGGTAAGAACTTGTCATCCATTTGCTGCGATATGGCACTCACGATCTGGCCCTCGAGCTCCATGCAGGTGTTCACGATGGCGAGATCGGCAGCCTTGAGAGCTTGGCTGTTAAACTTGGCGATGTGATCCTGGTAAGCTTTGTCGTTGCAAAAATGCCACGGTATCTCCGACCTTCGTATTTCAGGATCTGTGAGGATCACTGCGGCGTCATCGTCGGCTAGCTCGCCTATAAGCAAAGAACAGGCAAGAAAAGAAAGGCTAGCTCGTTCTCTTGGAGCTTACCTGGTTGCGATGGCACCATTCCAGCAGCAGCAAGGCGAGCGATACTAAGCTCACACCAAGTGACAGTGGCGGATGCTGGAATGAGCACGACCCCGAGAACTCCCAGCTTCGCGGCCAGCTTTGGACACCAGTCGAAGAGATAGTCCGAGATGATGCAGCACACCTCGTCCGGGATGGCTCGGACGAGCTCCTCCATCAAGGCCAGGTAAGTTTGAGCGTACCGCAAGATTTGCGTCATGTCCGCTCGGTTCTCTGATATTGCCTCGGCAGGGAATGGGACTGTGGAGGTGAGCTCCTTGACGCTGATGTTGGTGGTGCCTGGAGGCGGCCAAGTTCCTTTGTTCTTGATGAAGCTGTAACAATCGAATGGGCCGATTGTCATGGCTGCCAAGGTGATCGAGAAGCCTTGCTGGGCGAGAAAGATGGAGAGATGCATCATGGGAGAGACATGGCCTTCGCCTGGGAATGGGAGCGCAACGATGTGTTTGGCCATTGCGAGTAACCTATGTGAGGAGGAATTTTCTTTCTGGTTTATATTTGGAGCTGGCACTTGGATCATTTAGACGCAATGAGGATCCGGCCATTTTCTCTTGGGTGGGATCGCATGTTTGGTGTAGTTTTGTGATTTATACACTAGCAAAACATCAATAATGGTGAAATTATTAAACTTTATCATGTTTAAATATTAAATTTTAAAAGTTTAAATATAGAAACCTTAATCTATTAGAATAATGTAATATTATAAAATATCTATTGATATGGATACAATGCGACATGAAATACTTTCATTTTATTTTTTAGATCTTAATATTTTCTATTTAGAAAATTGTCATAATTAAATTTTAAAATATTACCTTTCACCAACTGTGATTTCTAGTATTTTTACTTTATTACAATTTTTGTATTATGTTCTTAAGTGTTTTTAGTAGTATATTATATTAATAAAACAATCTTTTTTTTCTTAAATCAATAATCTCACTTTTTTTTATGTTACACAATTATATTCTATATATGAAAAGATATTATGTGAAAAGAACTTAGCAAAAGGAAAGTTTTTTACAAATATGGGTATTTGTGATCATGGGATGAGATTTAGATATACTGTCACCGTGGATCCTTGGAACCTTGGGGAATAAATGGGGATAAAATAGCCACTAAGAGCTCTCTCATCAAGCAATTGCCCTTTTTCCAGTTGGCTTAACGGGAGAGAGATAAGGTGCGTTACATTTAATATTGGAGCAAATGGCACGGGTTCAATTCCCATTGATTAGTGGCTATTTAAAACATAATATACCCTTGAGTAAGGTATGTTTCTACCCCTAAATTTGAAATCGTATGTATTGGGCATCCATGCGTATGTTTTTTCTTTTGTGTGGAGTATCTACGGACGAAAGGTATTGGGCATCCATGCATATGTCTTTTCTTTTGTGTGGCGTATTGGGCATCTATGCGTATGTCTTTTCTTTTGTGTGGAGTATCTACGGACGAAAAGTATTGGACATCCATGCGTATGTCTTTTCTTTTGTGTGGAGTATTTACGGACGAAAGCATCTACCGTGGGACTGTAGTACGGGTGGATGACTAATTGTTAGTCAATAGTATTTAGGGGTATGTTTCTACCCCTAAATTTGAAATCGTATGTATTAGGCATCCATGCATATGTCTTTTCTTTTGTGTGGAGTATCTACGGACGAAAGGTATTGGGCATCCATGCATATGTCTTTTCTTTTGTGTGGCGTATTGGGCATCTATGCGTATGTCTTTTCTTTTGTGTGGAGTATCTACAGACGAAAAGTATTGGACATCCATGCGTATGTCTTTTCTTTTGTGTGGAGTATCTACGGACGAAAGCATCTACCGTGGGATTGTAGTACGGGTGGATGACTAGTTGTTAGTCAATAGTCAATGAGGACAAGCTAGTCTACACAATGGAAAGATTGGTAGATTTAGTGCGGAGATGGAAATGCTACAGCCGACAACTTTAGTATATGCGAAAATGGAGGTAGATAAGGTGTGCTACAGTATTAGATATAGCATGCTTCAGCTGACAACTCTAGTATATTATAATACTCTTTGTTATAATGAGTATTCTACCTAGTGTGCATATTTAACAAAAAAGAAAAAAAAAATTTACTTACTTTAGTACTTTCTTTTTCTTAGAAATTTTCTTTAAAAGAATTTACTGTCTTTTTTGTTAGATATGCACACTACATGGTAGATTATACTTACAACAAAAAATAATGACCACCTAGTGTGCATATCTAACAAAAAAGAAAGAAAAAAAGAGTGAAGAAAGAGTAAAGAATTTACTGTAATGACTTTTACTCGTCCATCTAGGAATACCACTTATTTTCTTGTTGTCTCAAGCTTTATTATTACAAAAAGGAGTTTTATGTCTAGATTACAGAAAAGAAAACAATGCCAAGACTAAAAAAGTATAGTAAAAAACACACTTGTTGAGCAAACAAACTTTTCAATATTTATTTGGTATAACTAGTCCAAGACCAAACAAACATCTCCTACAGGTGGAAAAAAAAAGTTTAGGGTATGAATGTTGGATAATCCTAGATTAGTCACACCCTTTTAAATATAAATAATCTCATCCTATAGCTGAATGAGTTTGCTATTTTGTTAAGATGTTTACCTCTAGCTTTCATTTATTTAGATAAATGTAAGGAATAGATAGGAAGTAGTTAATTGAGAGTTAAAACATAAAGGTCATGACTTTTTCTATTAAGTTTTCACTTTTGTCATAGAAGAAGCTAAAGAAGAATGGAAAGAGGCAATGCAAAGCTTGAGAGCCAAAGGATATGAATGCAGTTGGGGTTGTGTTATTCCAGATTTAACATTTCACACCTATCTATTTATTTTACAAGGTAAATGCTTCTTCTATAACCTGCAATGTTAGCTTTCCTCCACCAACTAATAAATCATAATTATTGTGTGTTCCCTAAATATAGATGGTAGAAAATTCTAGAAAAAATAACCTTGAATGCAATTAAAATTGTAACTACACTAAAGCAGAAAAAACATATTACTTGGAATAACACGATAGCAGCTTTGCATTCCACTTGTTGCCAAGACTTTGGCATATCCATTTTGACTAGCATGAACACCAATTTCATTGGCATTTCAAATGTTGCTGGCTTTCTACTTGTTCACAAGGTACATAGCTTCAAGTTGATTGTAGAAACATTGACAACAGGTTGACATAGATTCTTAGCTTGTTGTAATTCCAAAGCCTGAGCAATTTTAAATTTTATGTCTGAATGCCTCCTCATGAACAGTCTGCACCATTTACAACCAGGATTCTAGGTGATATCTTTTGCTGATACAATGCTTGCTGTTGCATCTTTGAGCTCACTTTGCATTATAGGGTAGCCAACTTTTGCTCGAACTTTCAACACAACAATGAGTGTCTCTTCTTCAGATGTAGAGAGCATTGTTGATGGACTAGGTCTCATACCCTTCCTCTTCTCAGCCACCCAAGCATTTAGTGTAGAAAGAGGTATCCCAAAGTTTATAGCAGCCTTTCTCTCTGATAGCTGACCACTGTTTATAAGCTGTGTGTTGGTCCATGTTCGTACATCTGTACCCTTTCTAGAATTTACTCACTTTTGCTTCAGGACTTGGTCTACTCTCAGTTTCAGGCTGCTCTTGTTCTTCATGTTCAAATTGATCCTCATTGTTGGGAACCTCTTGATCGTTGCAACTAGGAGCCATGCATACATGCTATAAGTAAAAGAAGTGTAAGTTTAATTGCCTTTAATTGTAACTTTGATAATACCTTGGCATTATAGGTACATTGAGTGGCAGCCTTTCTCTTTACTCCTTGCTTGGCACCATTGGTACTTTGTGGTAGGGCTTTGTTATACATTGTCAAATAAAAATAAGAACCATTATAGAATCTTCAACTCTACCTCTTGGATCTTGGCTTTGAGACGAGCAGACTGTCTAGTGACTTGTACTGTTGCTCTGGACAACCCTTCTGGCTGCATGTATAGTTGTAAATAAAACTGTTTCTTTTACAGAGAATTCTTTTATATCTCTTCCAACAATGACCATCCAGTATGGAAATGTAATGAGTGCTCTCTAAACTGCTCTTTGAATTCTGAAGCCCTCTGGTATGCTAGCAGGTTGCGGTACATTGCTGACCATCACATGAAGTGTTGTGCAAGTTTCTTTTCAATTTCCTGCTTGGATATGCTCCTCTTTTGTAAGTTCAAGTAAGCTCCATAAAGCAACCTCTTTAAGCTTTTCTGTGAAAACTCACCTAAAAACCTTTGATCAAAAAGCTAATCTTAGAAGACCAAACTTTGCAAGTTTTTTTCCTATGCTGGAAAGCACTCTGATGTATAGCCTCTTTCAATAGCTCTTGTCCATCCACTCTACTCTTAAGTTATCGATGAAAATCAAGAATGCAATTGAAGCAATGGAATAAATTCTCTTAACTCTAGATTTGAAGATTTTCTAGAATAAACATCAATAATAATAGACAATCACTAAGGAGAGCCCTAGACATACAACTGGAAATGGAAAAAGAGCAGGCCATTTTGTAAAAATGTGGGAACTCTAATTGATACATAACTGACCTCTAATAAGACCCCGAGCCAGTAATTGGGCCCCTTACTTTAATGGTTTTAGTTTTTATGTATGAAGCAGGATCCAATATTTGTAACGCATTCCGCTTTTGTTTTCCAGAAACCATAGGTAATTCACATAGGTGATGCTCTCATTCTCGATCGATTTTCTCCTAGGCCAGTTTAATCCATGTGATTGCTGTAGGAAGATTTCTATGCCTGGAGCAGGACAAATTGTCCACCTCCATTTTAATTCTCGTGGCCAGCGCGATTTGAGCTGAAGCGATTTACTCAACGCTCCAGCCGTTTAAAAGATTTATTCGTGCACGCACACACAAGTTCGAGCGAGACTAAGAAGCAATGTCGAGGACGATGAGAAGCTCTCTAGCAGCGATAACAAGTAAGCGTGCTCTCGATGGTCATGTTTCTTGGATAACCGGGATGGCTCTAGTCCTCTTGTTCATCCTTGGGACGATCCGAGCGCTGTATAGCAGCAGTCCGGTAGTAGCAGCGAGTTCTTCTCAAGTTCGTGCTACCAGGAGGCCTCTCTCCGCCGAGCAGCAGCAGCAGCAACAGCCAGAGATCTTTAGCTTCGATCCAGGCTCGCTGGATCCGATCGAGCAGTCCAAGCCGAGGATGGAAGCGCTGATGAACAGGACAATGAGCTTGGGTCCGAAGATCAGCGACTGGGACTCGCGGAGGAGCTCACGGAGGAGGAAGATCAAGCAGTGTGAGAAGAGGATGATGTTGGTGACGAGCTCGCATCCAAAGCCGTGTGAGAATCCTTTGGGCGATCACATCATGCTCAAGTCCGCCAAGAACAAGATGGACTACTGCCGGCTCCACGGCATAGACATGTTCTACAACGTTGCAAAGCTCGAGCGTTCCCTGCCGGGATTCTGGATCAAAATCCCGCTCTTGAGGGCGGTGATGCTTTCCCATCCGGAATTCGAGTGGATCCTGTGGATGGACGGCGATGCGCTCTTCACGGACATGACTTTCCGGATTCCGATCCGGAAGTACGAGGGCTACAACCTGGTGATGAACGGCTGGGATCACCTCGTGTACGGCAACCGCAGCTGGACGGGCCTCAACATGGGCATCTTTCTGATCCGGAATTGCCAGTGGTCGCTCGATCTGCTGGACATTCTGGCACAGATGGGATCCGACGGTCCCGGCAGTGTCGGAATTGGGAAGATCCTCCACGTGACGCTCTTTGGCCGTCCAGATCTGGAATCCGACGACCAGGGCGCGCTGCTGTGGCTGATGAACGCCCAGAGGGAGAGATGGGGCGCGAAGATTTTTCTCGAGCACTCGTACGCATTGAGTGGGTTTTGGGTGCCTCTGGTGAGGGAGTTGGAAGACAAGATGCGAAGATTTGAGCCTGGGCTGGGCGACGATCGGTGGCCATTTGTGACGCATTTTGCTGGGTGTGAGTTTTGTGAGGGATGGGCAAATTACTCGCCACAAGATTGCCGCAGGCAAATGGAGAGGGCTTTTAATTTTGGAGACAACCAGGTGTTGGAGATGTATGGGTTTAGACATCCTAGCTTGAATGTGGCAGACGTTGATCGAACGTAAGCAAATTCAGGGTTTGCAGAGTTTATAGATCATGAAAAGGTTAAAGCATCATTTAGAAATAACAATCATATAGAAAGCAAATTTAGGGTTTGTAATAGAGTGCATAAGCTCACTGGCTGTACAAGGCTCCACCAATTTGATGAGCTTCCTCCTAAAACCCTCACAACTGCCATGGTTTGCCCTCCAGATCCTGTTTGGGCACAGCTGTAGAGTCCAAATGCTTCCACTAGCAAAAACTCCGACAACATCAAGACAAGGAGTACAGCTTGAGCTTCCTTGTTCTGATGCTAATTGTTGTGGCCATCTGTTTCTTGTGCTTGATTGCTAGAAGAACCTCGTTGCTGCTGAACGTAGTGAGCTATCCTCGAGCTTGAACACATCCGCAATGAGCACTCCATGGAGAACAGAGCATTGCAGCTCCTTGATGGCCACTTGAGCTCCTCTTGGATTCGTCAGTGGCTTTCCATCACACCACTTATTTGCTCATGTGCTTTGGCTTTCCCAAAGGATTATGTTTAGTATAAACAAAGAAACAAACATCTTGGTCTCGGTCACAAGCAGACTTTAGCCCTTAGACACGTTGCTCCATATGTCCATTTTCACTTCACTAAGTTCATCTGTACCTCCCATTCATTGACGGCTTCATCTATCATCCTCTAATCTGACACACTTGACAAAAAAATTGATGTAACAGATATTGGTTAAGGAGCCATTTTAGAATGTTTGTTTTACCGTACCTTCTATTTCTTTTGCGTCACCATTTAGCAATCTGGCTGCCTAAGGCACATTGAGCAAGTTGTCTAGTCTGAAAAAGGTGACAGCCATATTGAATGGGCTCTTCCTAGGTTTCCATTTCAACCCCACTCCGAGGTGCCACAAAGAGTCATTGTGCTTCAGCTGGAGTGAGAACTATGAGTCTTTCAATAGTGAGACAACAATTGCAGGAGGAAACAGTGGAGGAACCACAAGTAGATACTAAGGGGCTGCTGGAGAACTTGGAGGAAGACATGTGGCCAGATGCTTGTCTTCAAGATAGTGGAGGTGCCATGCTTCTTGCTTCCCTAGTGACAATTGCAGGTGTTGATCTAGAGGCACTTTTAGACTTAGGCTCAGTCATAAATATTCTCTCCTCCACACTAGCTTAACAAATAGGCCTTTAGCTTCAAGATTATTCCAAGGTCTTGCTAAGAACCTTTACAGATTATATAGTTGCTTCTACTAGAATTTGTTGAGATGTCCATATTCTTATTCATAGGCACGAGTCAACAGTGGACTTCTTCATTGTTGATTACATTGCTTTAGGAGCCTCTACATAGGAGAAGTCAGTCATTTTGTGGGGGTCATGGCTAGATGTGGTGTCTTGCTTTTTAGACTCCAAGAATGACCAATTGTAGATTAAATAAGGAGTTAGCAAAGTGACAGCTTTCAATGCCCAAAGCCCAAGAACTTAGGATGTGGCTCAGGTTAAAATAGCAAAATTAAGCTCCTATTCACAATGATCTAGCACTTGCTTATCACGTACTGACATAACAAAGGAGTTTTACCCTTTGCAATGCAACATAATCATTTTTATTCACACAGATTGGACAATCTTGCCCCTCAACTTTTCCTATATCCATTGTGCATCACCATGTTTAGGAAGGAGGTAAATGATCTAGATGAAATTTTCAAGATCCTTAAAATGTCTAACTTAAAGGAGAATATAATTTTTTTATGGTACCTTTGGAAAGTGACTTTCTTACAATAGCTCATAATGAAGGGACACAAAAGAATGCTCTACAATTCCTCCTCATACAACTAAAGATGCCAAATCCAATTCTTTCTAATTCAAAGATTCCATATGACTCTATTGATATCCACATGAGTTTTCTAATAGAAAAAGTGGCTCTTGAGCTCATAGAGCACCAGGATACAATTGAGCCATAGCCACCACTTCACTCAAGCTTTGACCAACATCAATCACATTCAGGATTGTAACTTTGTTACTTGTATCTATGATTTTAGCTTTGCCATCCATATATAATTGTTGCCACAGATGTTCAAAGATGATGGGTCTTTAAGAGTTGTAGTACCAAGATCCAAATGGTCCACCACTAGATAATTGACTATGCCTTCCACTGAAATCTGGATGTCTCACAAATGCACTATTCCACAAATGTCCACTACTACTACTACTACTACATATATATATATATATATATATATATATATATATATATATATATATATATATATATATATATCTGTGTGTGTGTGTGATAAAAATTTATATAATTAACTAAGAAATAATAATTGATGGTAATGATAATTTTCTGGGTATGTAATTAAGTGATATCTAAGAATGATCTAAATTATCTAAAACAAAAAAATCTATACATATAGCATCCTTTTAGATTAAGATTGATATTCATTTTATTTAATTTTACCTGATTTTTTTACAAATTGGTTTATCTTTAAGACTTATAAATTATAAGAGCAATCTAGTGGTAGCAATAACTTTTATTGTTTAGGTTTTAACATGCTTTAATATGATTTCACATATAAAATTTATAATTAGAAAAAATAATAAGAAGTTAAATGCAATATCAATGTTTTCATTACACCAAAAATTCAAGCCTTTTAAAAATTCCCAAGTAAAGTAATAGTTTTAGATTTGAACAAAACTCCATGTAACAATTACCTAAAGTCTAGCGCTTTCAAATTCTTACAAAACTAGTTCAAGCTTTTAATTTGATTTAAAAACTCAACCATACATGCTTGTCAAATTTAGAGAATCTTTATTTATAGAAAAAGAAATTTTTTAGTAGGTATAAAGAAATATAAAAAACTGGACATACTTCGAAAGACATTAAAATGATTCTAAATATTGCAAGCACAATAACTTGATGCTATAGTAGGAATGGAGAGCTTAATAGCAATATTTACAATGTGGAAGAAATAGGCTTTTATATTTTACTTATACTTTTATAACTAATGTTTTCTTTTATCTAGGATTGTGGTGGACTTGGAATATGCATAAATATTAGAATGAATACTTAGTGGGATGATAAGTTTGAGGCAACTACACAAACACTAAATGATTGCAAATGATGATAGAAATTTTATAGGGGTTAAAAAGGGCTGCTTCTTAAGAAAACCATCTGTTGATGGAACTGTTGTAAATGTAGAATGCACCAAAAATGATAAAACTATGAACAATGATTTAAACCAAACTATGATAGCAAATATTTAATCCATTTAGCTTCAAATTCAGAACTATGGAAGCACAAGATTTTGAATGCAAAATGTCCATCAATAAGTGCATTGTGGATTATAAATTTTAAAAGTAAAATAAAATAAATAAATTGTGTTTAAGTATTTTTTATTTTAATAAATCCTTACGCAGGTTTTAGGGTTCACGGGTTTAGGGCTTTTCTTGTTGTGTGGGAGCATGGTGTGGTTCCAGTGTGACGATTGCGACGACAATCTCAAGAAGCCCAGCCTCCCCAATCACTTTCGACGCTGCCGCGCCTCCGGATTCTCTTGCATTGACTGCGGGGCAAAATTCGATCGCCAATCGGTCCAGCAGCACACACAATGCGTGAGTGAGGTAGAAAAATACGGTCCCAAGGGCGTGGCGGCGGCGGCGAAGAAGAATGGGAAGAACAGGGATGGCGGAGCAGTGGCGGAGGAGATTGTCAACATGGGGCTGTCAACCCGGCCGCCATGGTCGTGTAGCTTGTGTCACATCAAGGCCACAGGTAGGGAAGTGTTGCTCGTCCATGGCCAGAGCAAGCGCCATGGATCCAAGGCCAGGGCCGCCATCGCCGCCAGGAACCCACCCGCCGCCCCAGCCGTAATCGAGCAAGAGTCCAAGGATCCAGAGGAGGAGCGCCCGATCCAGCAAGAACTCTCGAAAGATCCGGCAGAGATGCCAGCGAGGAAGAAGAAGCGCGAGAGGGAGGGCAAAGAGAATGAGAATTCTTCCAGGGAGAAGGGCGCGATCAAACAAGAACCCAAGGAGCCAGTGAAAGAAGAGGGCAAGATTTCCATGGATTTCTCGAAGGTTGTGAGGTGGCGGAAGCTCATCTCTCGGGAGATCAAGAAGAGCTCGGATGGGAGCGTGAAGAGGAGGAAGCTGGAGAAGGCAGTGATCCCCGCGGCAATCGATGTGGTCAAGGCGGCGGGGATGGAAGCCGACGCTACCGTGCTCAAGCCACTGCTGGAGAATTACCTCGCTTCCACCAAGAAGTTCTCGCTCCAGGGCAAGTCTGTGCACAAGGTCGCCAAGCACGAATGAAGATCAAGCAATAGCTCGAAATTTTGTTCTTGCTAGAAGATCGTCCGGTGGATCAATCTTACACGGGTTTATTGTTCTTCACGATTTGTGCTCCTCCTCTTCCTTGCCGCCTGCTCCCTTGGCCGCTGCTTCTTTCTCCTGGCGCTGCCGCTCCTTGTCAATCCGGTACCACCGCTTGAGCTGGAAGAACAATTCAATAGCAAGAGCCCTAGAAATCTAGAGCAGGGGCACGGACCTCCTTGGCGTGGTGCAGGCACTCGTAGTAATCCTCGCGGAGCTCCGTGCAGTCTTGCGGGATCGTGCAATGCGTCATACACTCTCGAAAATCCATGAAGAGATCGTAGCAACGCCCACGAAAACCACGGATCCCAAAACCCGACGCCATACCCAAACGCCCACAAATTTCTAGGGTTCTAATGAGGGTGCTTAGCTCGTCATTGTCGCGCGCGGATTTTCCTGTGGAGCAAGCTCGATGCAATTCAAGCTCCCTTGGCGACTGGATTGCCGCATTACGGCCACATCGTTACCAGGTACCAGAGCGCTGTGGGGATTGCCACGGTTTGCCTGTGGAGCACGAAGTGGATGGTATACTTGGGATCAAACGGATCCAGGGATGGGAATTGCCGAGTATATAGCTGGGAATTGAGAATGAGGCGATGGACGATAGCCATCGGAGGAAGTCCAACTGACCTAATCCATCTCTTCGCGTTGATCATAGTCCCAGCAACTGATTCATACCCGGAAGTTCATGGTAACAAGTGGCTACTAACATGTCTTTGGCAGGAAACCATGACTTTGCGAGAACGTTTCACAGATAACCACGGATCAAGAGATTGCCAAGCAGTTGGTGTCACCGATCTGACGCATGCTTGTACACAATCGCTAGTCGCTGTTCACAGATAGCAAACAATTTTGCAACTGGTTTCAATGCACATTATACTTGGTGCAAGCTTGTGCTTACGAGAGCATTTTCTGGTTAACTCACCATATGAATGCCTGGCTGTAATTCAAATTAAATCCGAGCCGTTCATCGTTTTTAATCTTGCTTGTGCAACCTTAGGAAATGGGTTCTCTGACCCTTGACCACTTGCCCCTTACGCAGTAGTGCTCGTATGGCCAACCCAACATTTCTTTCTTATTTCGGTGTGAACTTTCGTACCATCCAGATTAATAAATTAATAACAACTTACAGTATTAAACAGTTTTTATTAAATTTTTATAATTCAATGCAAAATTTTATTTATTTCTCATGAACAGTTTCAACTCCAGAATTAAAATTAATTAGCAGTCACAAAAGCGTAATGAATAACTATTTGCTGTCATAATTTGATCCTTTTTTGCTGCTTAGGGAACATTGAGGAGCCACCCCACTCTTATAGAGATTTTATAAGAGAATGCATAGAGCATAAATTTATTGATTTAAGTATGTAAAATTTATATTAACTTTAAATTATCAAATGAATAAAAGAGGAAAAAAATAATAATTATAAACAACTAAAGAGAACAATTTGAGAGACAGTCTATAAAAGTTCAAATATAAAGAAAAAGGGCTCAAGAACAAAAGTGTGTCCTTAAATTTGAATAGTATTGAATTGGATAACCTTTATGGAAGTCCAAATCAAAGAATTTATAATAGTAATAAAGAAATTAAAATGATAAAGAACTATGCGTATAAAAGTAAAAGTAAATGGATGAAATGGAATAAAAGTGAAATGAATAAAAAAGATATAAGGAAATGGAAAGAAACCTCAAAATCACACATATTTAATTTGATCTACTAACATATTTAACTTCACAGGAAGCAAGAAGCTTTAAAAAAGAAGACTAAATAAGGGTTAAATTTTTTTTCTTGGGATTCCTAGAGATATTGTGTAGTTAGATTGGTTATAGTGGTATAATAGTTTGAATGCAACCATTTATATAGATTGGAACTTTCTCCCAAATATCTTAAAGTGCATATTTGGATATATTGATAATTATGGATATATTGTCTTTATCATAAACCATTTAAAAGTGTGAGAATTGGCAGTAAGAACAAGACAAACTTCACATACATAGTGAATGTAATAATCAATTGAGTCTGATTATTCAATTGTAACCACATATTATTAAGTAACTAAATCAATTACTATTTTAGAGTTAGAGAAAGAGGAGGATGCAATACATTACTCTACCATAAAGATGAATAAAAAAACAAAAAAAAAAAAACAAACTGTGAAGACAAGAGAAATTTAAATGATGCAAAAGTTAGATTTAAACATAAAACATAAATTCAAGCACTCCTCAAAAGACAATAAGAGCTACCCCTCACTGCCATATAGAATAATAATATCAGCCCAAAACCTTAAATTATATATAGAAGTTGGATTGTATTCAATCTGATAGCTCTGGAATCCCACTCTGTTAATATCATAAATGGCTTTTTATTGAACCTTACACCACTCTGTTAATATCACATATAGCATCTTACTAAACCTTACACCATTAAATTTAAAATATGGCAAACCATAATTGTTGCAAAGTAAAATAATTCTTTATGCCCACTTAAGAAAGATATTTGCTAGATAGTAAGTGAAAGTTCTAAAAATGATCAAAAATTTTCCAAAGTAAAGATCACTACCAATATTTTTAATTTAAAATATTCTTCAAGTATACATAGTTCATTTATTTATATAAAATAACTATTAATTATATAAATTATAGATGTTATAATATGTTATACCTTGTGTTATTTTATATTATAGTTATTTAATATAAAGTTTGTATAAATCATTTTTTATAATTTATAGTCAACATCAATGTCAACTAAGTAAGACTTTAATATATTTAAAACAGAGTTTATAATTGGTTAAATTTAAGAAAGAAGTAAATATGACCAGATTGTTTTTTAAAATTTTCTAATTAAAGTATTGGTTTTAGATTGATGAAAACTCCGATTCCAACAGGTAACTAACTTTTAAATTTTTCCAAAACTATTTTCAAGCTTTCAATTCAATTTAGAATATAATAAATGAGAATCTTCAACTATCTGTCTATAAATAAATAAATATTGGACATAAAAATGACTAAAAATTTTACAAACACAATAGCTAAATGCTATAGTAAGGAATGGAGAGTTTAATTATGATACTTTCAATAATTGTTTTGGCTCTACAAATGATTAATGTGGAATCAGTGTGATACTTATACTTTTACAACTAATGTTCTCTTTTATCTAAGATTGTGGTGGATTGGGAATGTGAAAAAAATCTTAGGATGAATACTCAGAATGATGATACATTTGAAGCTGGGTAAATTAAAAATAAAAACACTAATGGCAATCTTGTGGCTGCTAAAAATGACAGTTACCCGTATTCTTGTGGAAAGCCATCAGTTAATGGAACTGTTATAAGTGTAGAATGCACCAAAAAAGATAGGACTAAACCATTAATCCTTGAACTGTTAGATTGACTAATAAAAGTGAAACTCCCTTCTTAAAGTGCAATGGTGGTCAGTACTTCAACTCAAAGGATTGTGCATCCCTAGGGTTGACTAGTAAATGGGATCGGTGACACCAGTATTCCATCTTCTTTCATAAAAAGAGAGGTGAATATTTGAGAACTGTAATTTTCTAGACAACAAAAATCACCGCAAAATCCACCTACTTAAAAAGCCATGGTGATGTTTTACCACTGAAGGAATGGAACAAGCAAGGACCCCACCCTACCACATGAGATTCCGATTCCATGACAAACCCCACAGAACTTTCAAAGTGACAAAGTTTCAACCCCCGTTGGTTAAGAGGACCATGTTGAAAGTGGCAAATAGTTTCTCTGATTGTGATCTCGTCTTGTTGGATGTTGGATGCGACAAAAACTCTTATCCTTTTTGCTGGCAATCAGAGACACCACTGATTTACAAAGCTCTTCCAAGCTGGTAAAGTTTGTATATAGATTTCTGGCGTAAGTAAAGAGTTTTATTTTCCAGGTTTGTGAATCCGAGACTGATTGCTGCAAAATACTGCTGAAACGTACTGGGTTCCAGATTTTGTGAAAGTAAGTTCCTTAGGATTATATAACTTTTACTGACCTTGGCTTTTCAGGAAAAACATTTTCATAATTGGCTTGACAATGCTAGAGATTGGGGGGTCAGTAGGAGTAGGTTCTGGAGAACACCATAGAGCAATCTCAGCTTAGCATCCCCAGCTTCTCCAGCGATGCGTCTTTCTTGGAAAATCTAATGACACACCTTTACCAATTTGGGCTAGCAGTGATGGTGAGGAATTGGTGGTGGTAGGTTCCAGAAAGGAATTGGAGGAACAGTCATAAGGTATGTCTGTTTCATCTTTCTTTATTTTTCTCAACTGATATTTATTGGCATTTTATTGATGATATAACTATTCCTTCTAAAACTGGCGGTGTTTTGCACTAAGTTGACATTGTTCCATCTGTTGTGTAATGTTTATTCTTTCTTCTTTTATAGGTTTTTGACTGTTGGTTTGAAAGTGGCTCACGCTTATATTCATTATCCTTTTGAAAATCGCAATCTTTTCGATAAAACTTTCCTTTTGTTGCTGAAGGCCTTGATCAAACTCGTGGATGGTACAAGGCGCTACACAATATGCTTCTGATCACTTATTATTCTTTTTGCTAATGGTCTTGTTGACTGCTTTGTTTGACAAGCTTGCCTTCAAATATCTAATTTGCAATGGTCTTGTTCTTGCTGAAGATGGAAAGAAGATGAGTAAAAAGTTGAAAAACTATCCACCTCCCATAGACGTTGTACACGACTATGGAGCAGTAAGTGTTACTTCAACATACATGAGCGTTTATCAGTCATAATGTTTCTTGATAGTTCGTGCAAAGCCTCTTAAATTCCGAAAGGAGGGGTGCATGCTGTGGTAATGTAATCGTTTCATTTCTATCATCAAGAACAAACATGTATTTTTCAGGTGATAGATGTTTTCCTTCCGTGGTACAACGCGCTGGATCGGTGAATTATTCTTCTACTCAAAGTCTTGTCAATTTATCAGGGGACTATACACCGGAAGTAAAGTTTTGTATATATGGAGTTCACCTAATAAAACAGGTGGTTCCTTATCTGCTCAAGTTTATTGATAATTTTACAAACATTTACGTTCGTTTCAATCGCAAGAGGTTGACAGGACGTACTGGAGACCAAGACTGTCGTGTCGCATTGTCAACGCTGTACAGTGTAAGTGCTCTTTTCTCTAAGTTGTATCGGATCAATGACTTCGAGCTGTCCAGGTTCTTTTGACAACATGCAGTGTTATGGCTCCATTTACTCTTTTTTTTACTGAAGTCTTATACCAAAATTTCTTGAAGTTTCCAGCAAGAGCATTCACTACTGTGATTTTCCGCACCACAGAGTTAATGATTTAAAGCTAACCTAAAGTTTACACGCTTAAATCAATTTTTCATGAAATCTCTATAAGGGTCCTCAATATTTGGAGTTGAAGTGAATGACTATTTCATATTTTAAAATTTGGGAGAGGCTTTTGGAATGGATCTAGAGTTGACTGTCATGAAGGTTGATTATCACCCTATAAAATATGCCATCCAGCTTTTCACTGATAGAGCTAGAGTTAATGAGTATTAAGTTCTGCTTTTTGGCAGATTTGAAAATTTAAGAATGGATCTATAGCTGGTTGTTGCAAAGGGTGATGACCACCTTATAAAAGACACCATCCAGCTTCTCACCCTATAATCATGTTATGGTCTGCTCATATATTGGAGTTGCTCTAACTCATTCTCTAATTCATCCATCAACTTTGACAATGGCATTTTATTCTTGCTTGTTTAGCAAGAGTGTACTTGAGATCTTCTTGTACAAGTAAATTAAACCTTGATTACAAATGAGGTTAATTTCAACTATATATAAGCCAAACTTCCTTCTGCCTGGAAAGAATGCTCTTCTGTGATTGCTAAGGTGCAATGGTGGTCAGTACTTCTAGTCAAATGATTGTGCCTCGGGTTGACTAGTAAATGGGGTCGCTGACCCTTGACCACATGCTAGACAACAAGAATCACCGCAAAATCCACTCGCTTAAAAAGCCATGGCGATGTTTACCAATGAAGAAAGGAAAAACCAAGGACCCCACCCTTCCACATGCGATTCCGTGACAAACCCCACAGAACTTTTCAAAGTGACAAAGTTTCAACCCCCGTTAGTTAAGAGGACCTGTTGAAAGTGGCAAATAGTTGTTCCCTCGTCTCGTTGGATGTTGGATGCGACAAAGACTGTGTCAGGGAGCAGGAGCAAGCTCTGCCTCGCAGGCATGCTTTCACGTCGGTTGAGGGGATGGTTTCAAGTGTACCAACTTTTCTCTCTCCTGTTCCTCAGTCTGAAAAGGTTGCTGCAGTGGAAGTGCTTCACGGACGTTTTGTGCTTCCCAGCAGCAACACAGTAGCATTCATCCCGAACTCCGCTAAAAGTTGCTCAGGAAATTCTTTTTTTCAATTTTATTTTGGCGCTTTGTCTTGTCAAATACTGTAGCTATTCGTTTTTTCTCGAAATAACTAAATAAATAATCTGAAAATCTGGGAATCTGACGAAAAGTCGTCAGTTTTCAGCTCAGAACCCGGCATGTTCCAAACGGCTTGTGTCAAACTGCGGCTCATTTGATTTTTCTTCTTTTTCTCGAAATATGGTCCGTAACTTTGAGGCCAAGGAAGTTGCGATCTTGTTCGCGAGTATAAATAACTGATACCAGGTTGGAGAAGCTCCAAGAGAAGAACACTTCTTCCGTTTTATTTGTTTCAAATCTAGTGATCAGCGATCATGGAAATTTTTTCCCGGGTCACTGGCCTTCTTCTCTCCATTTTCTTCCTTGGAGCTCGCCAAATCCGTGGCGATGAAGGATGGACCGATGGAGCTCACGCAACTTACTATGGAGGAAGTGATGCATCAGGAACAAATAGTAAGTTCTTACGTGAAGTCTCAACAGTAAGTTCCAATGATTTTGATCTCTCGTTTTTTTCTTCCGTGATAGATGGCGCGTGTGGCTATGGAAACCAGCTGAGCGCTGGCTATGGAGTTCTCACCACTGCTTTGAGCGCTCCACTGTTTAACGATGGTCACGTTTGCGGAGCTTGCTTCGAAGTGAAGTGTTCTTGGGGCGACTCTGGCTGCCTCGCCGGGAATCCTTCCATTGTTGTCACTGCCACGAATCTGTGCCCGCAAGGAAGCAATGGAGGATGGTGTGATTCTCCCAAGCAACACTTTGATCTCGCGCAGCCGGCGTTCGCTCTCATCGCCGTGACTCTCAATGGTCACGTCCCAATCCAATACCGGAGGTAGTCAATCCATCCTCTCCATGGTTCTTGCCAGATCTCTCTCGAATTTGTCACTGACTTCTCTCGATTTCTTCCAGAGTGAGCTGCAAGCGCGATGGAGGCCTTCGATTCACGATCAATGGTCACGTCTACTTCAATCTGGTGCTCATCGAGAACGTTGGCGGCACCGGGGACGTGAGCGCGGTGTCGATCAAGGGATCCAAGACCGGGTGGCGGCCGATGACGAGGAACTGGGGCCAAAACTGGCAAGATGGCGGGGATCTCACTGGCCAGAGCTTGTCCTTCGAGGTCACCACCAGCGATGGAAGCAAGATCACGGCCTACGATGTCGCTCCAGACTACTGGCAGTTTGGACAGACCTTTAGCGGCGGCCAGTTCTAGATTCTAGAGCCCCTGGATCGATCGATCGATCGATCGGAAAAACCAAAACTTTCGATCGATAGAGGAGCAGAGGTGTGATTTGTGCCCGCTCCTATGGCCATTCTATAAGGAAAACCTATGATCTCTGGAGAGAGCTAGAGCTGGACGTGTCTATCTCTCAATCAGGGAAGAAGGAGCTAGTGAGTGAAAACTTTAGATCGATAAATGGATGAATGAAAAAGATGCAGGGATTTTTATCTATCAATGTGGGCTAGAGAGTGCTAGCAACGCTGGCTGGAGGAAGAAGAAGAGGTAGCCTTGCCAAAGATCGCTAGCTATGATCGTCCTCCACATCCCAGCGCCATCAATCTACCACTACACAGGGCGCTACAATCCCCCCAAGAAAGCGCGAGGAATTTCTAGGGTTTTAATTAGGGTTCTTAGCTCGGCTGCGTCGTCACCGTCGCGCGGCGCGATGGAGTCTGTGCCGGAGGGCAAGGATTTCTCGTTTCCCAAGAAGGAGGAGGAGATTTTGCAGCTGTGGAGCAAGCTCGATGCGTTCCAGACGCAGCTCAAGCGCAGCGAGGGGCGGCCGGAGTATGTGTTCTACGATGGGCCTCCTTTCGCGACGGGATTGCCGCATTACGGCCACATCCTCGCCGGGACGATCAAGGACATCGTTACCAGGTACCAGAGCGCGGTGGGATTTCACGTCACGAGGAGGTTTGGATGGGATTGCCACGGTTTGCCTGTGGAGCACGAAGTGGATGGTTTGCTTGGGATCAAGCGGAGGGAGGATGTGATCCAGGGGATGGGAATTGCCGAGTATAACGAGCAGTGCCGGAGCATCGTGATGAGATATAGCAGGGAATGGGAGAAGACGGTGGTGAGAATGGGACGATGGATTGATTTCGAGAAGGACTATAAGACGATGGATCCGGAGTTTATGGAGTCAGTCTGGTGGGTGTTCAAGCAATTGTTTGAGAAAGGCCTTGTTTATCGTGGCTTCAAGGTGAGAACTATTTCTCTTTCTTTGGTCTGTTGTTAAGATTTCTTTTGTAGGTGATGCCATACAGCACAGCGTGCACGACGCCGCTATCAAACTTTGAAGCAAACCAAAACTATAAGGTTCGTCAAGTGAAGTTTCTAAGATCGTCACTAACTTAGTGGTGCACGGCAGGAAGTTGACGATCCAGCGATCATGGTGGCGTTCCCTCTCCTGGATGATAGCGAGAATGCCGCTTTGGTTGCCTGGACGACGACTCCCTGGACGCTTCCCAGTAACATCGCACTTTGCGTGAATGCAAGCTTAAACTACGTCAAAGTAAGCCCAGACTATATGTTATTGACTTGTTCTAGATTCTCTTTGTCTTGCTTTTTTCAGGTGAGAAGCAAATCAACCTCGGCTGTCTATATAGTGGCCGAGCCACTGCTTTCTTCTCTGCCCACCGTGAAAGTTAAAGCGGATAAGGGTAGCAAGAAAGAAAGTCAAAGCGATTATGAGATTCTGAGCAAATTCCCAGGATCAGCGTTAGTTGGAAAACGGTATGCCTTTTTTTTTTCTCCCAGTTTTACTCGTTTCTTGAACACAATCTTCATGCAGATACAAACCTTTGTTTAACTATTTTTTGGAGCTGTCAGATACTGCATTCCGTGTGGTTGCAGATGACTACGTAACTGCAAGCAGTGGCACAGGCGTCGTGCACTGTGCTCCCGCTTTTGGAGAGGACGATTACCGTGTCTGCATGGAGGCTGGTATTATAGCTAAGGTCTGCGACTTCGATTTAGATCCTGGTTTTATACTCACGTTCTTACGTTTTCAGGGGGGCGACTTGCCAGATCCCGTCGATTTGAATGGCAACTTCACCGACAAAGTGACGCATTTTAGTGGATGTCATGTAAAATCTGCTGACAAGGACATCATTGCCATGATCAAGGTAAAAATGTTTGCCTTGTGCTTTCACTGTAAATTTCTAATGCTGCTAATGCTGCTAATGCTGAGTAGGCGATGGGAAGGCTCGTAAATTCGGGAAGTATAAGGCACTCTTATCCTTTTTGCTGGCGATCAGAGACACCGCTGATTTACAAAGCTGTTCCAAGCTGGTAAAGTTCGTATATAGATTTGTGGCGGAAGTAAGGAGTTTTATTTTCCAGGTTTGTGAAGGTCGAGGAGCTCAGAGACCGATTGCTGCAAAATACTGCTGAAACGTACTGGGTTCCAGATTTTGTGAAAGTAAGAAGTTCCTTAGGATTTTATAACTTTTACTGACCTTGGCTTTTCAGGAAAAACGTTTTCATAATTGGCTTGAGAATGCTAGAGATTGGGCGGTCAGCAGGAGTAGGTTCTGGGGAACACCTTTACCAATTTGGGCTAGCAGCGATGGCGAGGAATTGGTGGTGGTAGGTTCCAGAAAGGAATTGGAGGAACTATCCGGTCATAAGGTATACCTGTTTCATCTTTCTTTTACTCTGCTTTATTTTTCTCAAAGCAGGCAACTGATATTCATCGGCATTTTATTGATGAAATAACGATTCCTTCTAAAACTGGCCGTGGTGTTTTGCACCGAGTTGACGATGTGAGTAGTTCCATCTGTTGTGTAATGTTTTATTTTCTTTCTTCTTTTATAGGTTTTTGACTGCTGGTTTGAAAGTGGCTCAATGCCTTACGCTTATATTCATTATCCTTTCGAAAATCGCGAGCTTTTCGATAAGAACTTTCCTGGTCATTTCGTCGCTGAAGGCCTTGATCAAACTCGTGGATGGTACAAGTCGATACACAATATGCTTCCGATCTCTTATTATTGCTTCTTTTTGCAGGTTTTACACCTTAATGGTCTTGTCGACTGCTTTGTTTGACAAGCCTGCCTTCAGAAATCTAATTTGCAATGGCCTTGTTCTTGCTGAAGACGGAAAGAAGATGAGTAAAAAGTTGAAAAACTATCCACCTCCCATGGACGTTGTACACGACTATGGAGCAGTAAGTGTTACTTCAACGTACGTGTGGGTTTATCAGTCGTAATGTTTCAGGATGCTCTTCGATTGTATCTCATAAACTCGCCGGTAGTTCGTGCAGAGCCTCTTAAATTCCGAAAGGAGGGGGTGCATGCTGTGGTAAGATAATCGTTTCGATTCTATCATCAAGAACAAACGTGTATTTTTCAGGTGAGAGATGTTTTCCTTCCTTGGTACAACGCATATCGTTTCCTTGTTCAAAACGCCTTAAGACTGCAAGTGGAGGGTTTTGATGCTTTTATTCCACTTGATGAAAGTAAACTGGATGGATCGACAAATGTGCTGGATCGGTGGATAAATTCTTCTACTCAAAGTCTTGTGAAATTCGTCAGGGAGGAGATGGGAGCCTATCGACTATACACCGTAAGTAAATTTTTTATATATGGAGTTAACTTAATATTTTCTTATTTGTAAACAGGTGGTTCCTTATCTGCTCAAGTTTATTGATAATCTTACAAACATTTACGTTCGTTTTAATCGCAAGAGGTTGAAAGGACGTACTGGAGACCATGACTGTCGTGTCGCATTGTCAACGCTGTACAGTGTAAGTGCTCTTTTCTCTAAGTTGTATCGGGTCAATGACCTCGAGCTGTCCAGGTTCTTTTGACAACATGCAGAGTTATGGCTCCATTTACTCCTTTTTTTACTGAAGTCTTGTACCAAAATCTGAAAAGAGTTCTTGAAGTTTCCAGCGAGAGCATTCACTACTGTGATTTTCCGCAAGTTCAAGGCGAGGTCAGATCTGTGGTACTTTAACTTGGATGATGCTTATGCTTATCCTTTAGACTGATGAGCGCATTGAACAAAGTGTATCCCGTATGATGACAGTTATTGAGCTTGCTCGCAATATACGCGAGAAACACAAGCTACCTCTGAAGGCCCCTCTCAGGTAATCTACCACTTTAACATTGTACGCCTGACACCGGAATCCAGGAAAATGATCATTGTGCATCCGGATGGGGAGTTCCTTGAGGACTTGACAGAGAAGCTGGGTGAAGTACGTGGTGTATTTCTTTCTGTGCTAGATGCTAAAACTTATCTTGCAGTACGTTCGCGAGGAAATGAACGTGAAGGAGCTTGAGCCTTGCGATGATCCTTTCAAGTATGCGTGCTTGCGAGCAATTCCAAATTTCAGGTTTGTTGTTGATTCGTTTGAACTGGATGCTTGAAGCCGTGTACGCTCTTGTAGTGCTCTTGGCAAAAGGGTTGGAAAAGCCATGGGCGAAATCACGGCGGCAGTAAAACATTTGAGCCAGGATGACATTCTCGAATTTGAAAAGCGCGGAGAAGCTGTATTGGCCGGTCAGACTCTTGTGACTGGAGATTTGAAGGTAAAGTTGATCTGAAGCATTGTTGCCTACTAGGACTATCGTTTCTGCGGTGCAGATAGTCAGGGACTTCAAATTTCCTGATGGTATTGCTAAGGAGGATATCGATGCTGGTGGAGATGGTACGTATTCCAGTAGGCTGGTGCTTGTCTCTGATCTTCCTTTTACTGCAGGCGATGTTGTCGTCATTCTGGATCTCCGTGGTGATGATACCCTCAACGAGGAGGGAATTGCTCGAGAGGTATAATAATTGCACGCTTTCATAAAATTCTATATCTTAAATGTATGTTTTCGCAAGGTCGTGAACCGCATCCAAAAATTGCGAAAGAAAGCAAAACTGGAGCCGACTGATGCGGTGGAAGTTTTTATCAAGATGGCAGCCGATTCGGCACTAAGTGGAGTGGTTAAATCTCAGGTTTGTTGCTTCATTCTTACCACATTCTTGAAGTCAATTGCGGGAACAAATCGGTATTGCAGGCCTCCTACATTCAGGAGTCACTGGGCTTTCCTCTGCTATTCTTCGAGCAACTGCCGTCGAAACCAGTAAGCAAATTCTTGTGGTGATTACTTGAACATAAGCTAACGAGTTCTAAGCAGGTTGTCATAGCCGAGGAAGAATTTTCTGGTGTATCTGATGTCGATTTCAAGCTTGTCATTTGCACTACAAGATTGGCATTCGATGACACCGCTCTGATGAGACTTTGTTCCGGTAACTGATGCACTCTTATACGGCTTCTCATTTCTTTTCTTTCCAGACAATCCTGAGCTCGTCGAGAACGTAAAAGCTGTGCTGTTGTCCAGGGACATGAC